GCGAAGGGTGTCAAATGTTGACAGACAGGGGTGAGCATAAGAGCTTCAGAGATTCTTCATGTTCTCTTGCTGCTGCTGGATCTGGCACAAATCCAGGAGTTGCTTGCATAGACCACAGAATGCAGCAGCTGGTGAGCCATATTAGCAGACAGGGCCTCAGGGCAAGCCCTGCTCCTGAGCTCTGCTCACCAACTGCTGTTCACTTAAACAGCTGGATCTGAGCAAAGAGAGACAAGGTGTCGTTAGAGTTTTATGTGTACAATTGTTTCACTATAGATTGTCTGCTAGAGGCAGAGATAATGATAGCTTTCCAGGCTCCCATATTGGACCAGGAAGGATCCTGATGTTCAAAGAATCAGCAGACAGAAGAATTATGATACATACATAGCTTTGAACACCAATGTTCTGTGTCATTCTAAAGTGCGATTTCAACACCATTAGTCACTATATAGCTAACACTATTACAAGGGTTTCCTGGGGGTAGAGGTATTCCAGTCACACCAAAATAATGTTTTAAAACTATAGTCTTAGGTGGGCAACATGGACCTGTGTTTTTCTTTCCATTTTCAAAGAAAATCAAAGGAATGTGTGTCAAATTTTGTACCTGATGTTTCCCAGTTGAACACTGTCTTCAACCTGAACTCTTCTGGCATAGGAGAAGGAATGTGCCATGCAAGTCAGGAGGTCGATCACAGAGCAGGGCATCAGGCAGAGGGAATGGATAGTGTCTACTTTGCTTTCCTAATTGATCATAATGGAACTTTGGATTTCCGTTAATTGGGAAAAGGCTTTGAAGGAAAGCACATGAAATTCCTCTTCATTGTTATAGTATTCTTCCTCCATTACTTTAACTGGCATTTTTACTCCCATAAGTATGGAAAAGATTGTTGTACAACAGCAGCTAGGAAAATTTAAAGAAACAGATCAGGTTTGCAAAAGAATGAAATCTAGCCCATTCTCAGATCAAGTATATTTCCCAAATGATGAGATAAACAGGAAGTTAAAATACCAACAATATATAACACTTTTAGCTGAGAAAAAATAAGGCTTACTAATCTTTAAAAAGGAGAAAGTGAGAACTATACACATTAGACATTACCTCTAAGTGTTTGAGCACTAGGGCTTAGCAAATGAAATCCCAAAGTGATGGGGAAGTGCTGGGCCATGTCCATGGAGCCAGTGTCGTTAGTGCCACAGTACCTACCCACAGCATCTCCTCATGCCAGTTCAGGAACGGGATGAATACCTGCTATCATGACAATATCTGTGCTGGATTCTTCACAATGGTGAAGAAAATGAATTCTTTAGTCTATAGCCAGTTAGGGTGTATCAGTTAAAATTACCTTTAGCAGTGTACAAAAGATAGTCCTAGTAATGAAAATTTAGCAGAGATGGTCACATTGAAGACCCCCCATACTAGGGAGTTACAATGAATCAAAGATTGGAACCCCTCGTGCTCCTGCTCTCCAGCCACCTTGGAGCACTGCCCATTGGCTCCGACATTTTCTCCAACTCATCATCCATCACTTTCACCAGCAGGAACAAGAATAGAACAGAGAAAAAATTGTCACTACTAAGTGTGACTGTACTACATTATTCACTATGAACTTAAAATATGGTGAATAGCAAAAAACTGCATCTGGCTAGTTCAAATTCTGTATTTGACATTAAGGAGTAACAACCAACCATTGCCTTTCAGGAGGAAACTGGTAATGAAAGAAAGCATTTGTTTACTTGTGTGAGTTTACTAATTATTATTTTCAATAACTAGAATCCATTCACTGTAACCTTCTGCCCATACTAACCATTAGTAATTCACACTGGCTCCCGTGAGAGCGAGGTAACACTCATGCACTTCTGTAGATCAGGAATGTCAAGGTGGTGCTAGGATTCAACTGTGTTATGAGCACATGGGGCCTGCGGAGTTGAGGATGGTCTCCTGCCATGCTTGTCACCCTCTACATGGGACAACTGACTCCTGGGGCAGTGACAAAACTGCTGTCTGCCTGACCTGTATCACTGGGGACACAATGAACCTCTGGGAAAGGCCACTGCTTGGCCATCTACCTCACCATCCTTACTCAATGATCCTTTGCTCCACCGTGGCCAAGGCTACTTCCTCTTTAACAAAGGGACAGGAATATAGACCTACAATAACACAAATTAACATGAGGGGGGAAAACAAGTCTTTTGCAAAACAGTAGAAGAAATTGGTGCTGATAAGGGAGATTAAACCTCTTTAAGGAGCACTCCATTGCCACAAATCCAGAGGCTCTGTATGAAAATCAATTTGGAAATCATAATCCTGTAACACCAGGTTAAAACTACCAGATTTCTGTGTAGATGAGTTAAAATGGGCTCCAAACATGTCACATAGATGTGTGCTTTGAAACCAGAGATGCATGGGAAGAAGAAATTGAGGTATCAAATTGTTCCATATTGTTAGAGAGATGATTAGGTCAAGTCTGACTCTGCTAGCAAATACTTCTAATTTGCTGAGCTAAGAAACGTGTTCTCTAGATACCCAAGTCTGAATGTGTACCCGAGTACTTTACCTGATGCAGGGTTGGGAGAGTGGACTGTGCAGTAGGGCAGAGTTCATTCACAGGCAGCCACTTTTCCATGCCCATGCTTGTCCATGCTCTTCTAAATGCTAAGATGCATAGACGTTCAATACACTTGAGAGCAAGCCTTAGAAACCATAGTTTAAGTCCCCTCTTCTTCGAAAAGCCCATTCTGATTTTGACGGCACCCTCTAAAATGGCAGAGTATCTGTGAACGCTGCATCTCTCCTATAACTGTGGGAGTGCTTCATGAATTATAAGAACTACCTTTAAAGAATTAGAGCAATACAGCTTATTTTTTAAAAAAATGTTGGTTAGACTAGGAAGTTGGGAAACTTGTGGAGCGAACAGACCTAAGCTTCACCAACAGGAAGCCAAAGTGCAGCGATTTGGGGAGTGGGGCCTGCCCAAGAGCTGGAGAACAGCTCCATGACGAAGTGGCCTAATGAGAGCCTGCCAGGAAGGAAGACCAGAGGCTCCGGACCTGCACGGCTGCATTCTCTGTTCTTTGGGATCTAGCTAGTGTTGTGAGATGGCTTGTGTACACTGATGGGAAGTAGTTCCACTGCTATACAAAAGAAACAAAAACAAAGGCCAGGACCAGGTTCCTTAGCCCGCCCTCACATGTTTTTCCAGGTTGTAATGATATTTCAGATGGGTAATTACTAAGCATCTTGTCTATGTGGAATATTTTTGTTATGCAACAACAGATAGCATTAATTAGATTTTTCAGTTCCATGTGTACTTTTAGCTGTCAAGTCCTTCACTGCACATTTGTCCATCTTCTTCTCTCTTGTTCTCTTGTCTTGAGCACTTTTTAACAAGCCCTCTAACAGGAAACTAAACAAGTTACACCAATAAGACCAGTACCTTTTGCCTTAGGTTTGGAACTGCTGGAGAAATGTTCGGTGAAATCCACCATACTCCTCTTACACAATGCATTTGACCTCCAGATAATGATAAGCGCTTCATCCCCCAATGCGTTTAATTTTAATCCTGCCGAGACGAAAGTCATTGCTTGAATTACAAGAGTGAGTCTCGTTAAGGCTGAAAAGCAGTGACCCAGATAACATAATGGATTAATATGGAGACCTTGCAGTTTTAGAGCCTTGCTTTCAAATCTGTCTGCGCAGCCAAGTCACTGCAATAGTCAATCAACTGGTTAATACTGTCTATAAGCATTCTGAGAACAGTAGTTAGGAGAGCATTCTCGCTACTCAATAAAGGATTAAACTGAATCAGGGCACCTGCAGGGAGAGAGTGTCTTGTAGACATGACATGGATGCTGCACCCCTGAAATCTCAACAATATGGTTGCCTAAGCAAGACATGAATGATGGTCACAGCAGTTGGCATGCCAACAAAGATGAAGGAAACTCCACAAGCCCCAACCCTAGATTAGGAGCTGTGGGTAGTCAATGGCTGCTGAGGGAAGAAGGATCAAGTGATAGCCACACTGACAGGTTATCTAATCCCCACTGGTCAGCCCTAAACATATAAAAGCAATGCTAAATGGACTAAGCAGGTTTTATAAACATACACATTTATATATGTGTATATTTATATATGTGTATGTTTATATACATGTATATTATATATAAATATACATATTTTATATGTGTATGTTTATATATGTGTATATATTATATATAATAAATACAGAATGGGGTATGAGAAGAGTTGGGAGAAGGAGGAGTAGAAATGTTGCAAGTACAATGTACTCATGTATGAAACCCTCAAAAATATAAAAAAATATTTAACAGAGAACATTCATTCCCTTATTGTCTCCGCAAACTTCCTTAAATGATCAGAATTAAAATGCAGTGTTTAATGGACGGCTGTGATGCTAAAATCACTAATGATTTTGTAATTTGGATGGCACTCTAACAAGCACCAGCATGTTGACATTTTCATCACATAAATATATACAATGCTATAATGTGTAAATATAAATTAATAAGATGTCTACTTATCAGAACAAAAATATAAGTACAATGAGTTGGTCTTGGTAAATGAAATGTGATGCTGACCAAATTATGAAATTCTTGTTTTGGCTGGTTGGTTGTGGTAATGTGATTAAAACCCAGGTCCTTTCCCATGCCAGTCACGACCTCTACCACTAACGTATATCCAACCTCTACCTTTTGCTATTCTTTGGGGGGTAATGTATATATTAGAATTATTAAACTACAGAGAAAACTACTGTGTGTACAGCTTAATAGGGCATCTTTCCATCTACAGATTAAAGAAAAAGATTTTTTAGCTGGGCATGTTAGTGTGCACAGCACTCAAGAGGCTGAAGAAGGAAGATCATGAATTCCAAGCCAGCCTGGGCTTATGTAGGGAGATCTGTTGTCAAAAAGTCAAAATTTAAAAATAAAAGAAACTTTCAAGAAGCTTGTTTCTGAAAATGTGTCTATTTGTTCATTTATTTTAGATGCAAGATATTGGGACCACCGAAGGAGCTCAGTATGGCTCCCATCCTCAGATGGCAGCCATGAGGCCAAGAGGCCAGCCCCCAGACATCAGACAGCAGGCAAGCCTGATGCAGCACGGTCAGCTGACCACCATCAACCAGTCCCAGCTGAGTGCACAGTTGGGTTTGAACATGGGAGGCAGCAACATTCCCCACAACTCCCCTTCTCCCCCTGGGAGCAAGTCAGCAACGCCTTCGCCCTCTAGCTCAGTGCATGAAGATGAAGGTGATGACACCACCAAGGTATGGTCTGTGCTTGAACTGCCTTTGCACTGTAAGGAGGGCATGTTTACATCTTCCCCTCGAGAAACACTGGTGAGGAGCAGACACCTAGTCAATGAAGCATGAGGTCACAAACTAAATGTACATTTCTATATAACACAAAGGCTATTTTTGCTCTTAGAATGGATGGTCTGCATAGTGAGTAAGGCTAAATAAATTCTGTTGTACTTGACTTCTGCAACCGAGCCTACCTATTGCCTTCCAAAAACATTTTTCTCTGTAGGACCATTTGTTTTCCTTGCGAGGATCACATGTAGCACAGGCTAGCCTCCAACTCCTGAGATGCTGTGTAGCTTAGGAGGACCTTGAAATTCTGATGGCCCTGTTTCCACTTCCTGAGTGCTGGAATTAAAAGTGTGCACCATTGTGGAATGCTGGAGATCCAACTGATGCTGGGCAAGCACCCTGCTAAATTGTCTCTCCAGCCCCATTGCACTGTAAGAAGCGAGTCCTGCGGGGTGTGTGTAGGGAGTGTGAATGGGGCTCAAAATGTGTGTTGGAATGTTGTTAGATGACAGCCTCAGATCACCTGACCCAACTCTTCCACAGAGTAGAAGATGACTTTGCAGAACAGAGACCTGGGCTAATGTTTTGTGGTTCCTTGTAGCTTTATCACTCGATGCCTTTTTTTTAAATCATTTGGGTGGGAAATTGCTTTTCAAATGCCCTTGGAGGGGGAAATTGGGTGAATTTTCCTTTAAATTTCTTTGAAGTTGTTTAAGGAAATTGTTTGTTTAAAATATAATATTTTAAAAAGAGAAAAGAAAAATAAATGACTGCACCAAAACCTTGTAAGTTTTTGCCCCAAAACACCAAACACTCCCTCCCCTCTGCTCCCCTCCCCTCTGCTCCCCTCCCCTCCCCTCCCCTCCCTTCCCTAATTACCAATGAAACCTTGCCCAGATTTATCCTAGTGAGAAGGATGTGTGTCTACCAACTGTGGAAATGTCCACCAGTACACAAATACTGTCTTTCTATTTGCATTCTTTTTTTAAAGATTTACTTTTTTTTTTTTTGATTATGTATAGGCAGTGGGTGGACAATATGCAGGTGAGTACAGGTACCCTAGGAGGCCAGAGGCTCTGGATCTCACAGGGAATGTAGTTACTGGCATCTGTGAGCTGCCTTAGATGCCAGAAAGGTCCTCTGCAGGAGCAGTACAGACTCTTCCCTGCTGAACCCTCCCTCAAGACCCCTGTTTTATTTCTTCAGGAAGCTCCCTAACAAACAGTCAGATGTGACAGCTGCTTTGTTGTCTTCTCACTTTCTTAAGAATTATGTTTGGTAGAAGTTAAACTGCCAACATACTGCTAAAGGCAATGCTATGGGATCTGACCTATGTGACTGACTGCCAGTATCTACACCGAACTCTTAATAGTTCAGATGAATTGTAATCCATAGATTAATTCAATTTACTGACAGCATTGACAGTGCACTGGCAGTCTTTTCTTATTTCTGTACTCTTGATGCCCCAGTATTTGGGAGTTCTTCATCTTGGAACACCTGTACAATTGGCTGCCATAATTGACTCCACTGTGAGGCCCCCTATGATATACAAACCAGCTAACCCAGAGCTCTCACACACCAATTCAGTATTCCCCTGGCTCTTACTCGGGCCAGGGCCAGCCAACAAAGACCCAACCAGAAAGCCCAGAATCTCTTGACACTATGCGAGGCCTTTCCCCAGCTCTCTCAGCATGCCCACACTGGAGCCTGCCAACTCCTGCCCACAAAATTGCCACCACATACTCTGATCCTGTGCTGCCCTGGTCCTGTCTGTCCCTCATAGACTTGGGTCCCTCCCCAGGTGGCGTGTGCTCAGCTGTGCCTCCTGTTCTTCAGATCTGAGTGTAAACTTCCCCTTTCCTGCCAGTCATTTCCATGTTTTGCAGACTTCCCAAATCAAATCCCAGGTACAAATCCTAGTGTCGTTGCGCACATATCTGATTCTTCTCCCCTCACAGTCCTGTGGTAAGTGAGGTAGTGTCCACAGACAGAGAGAAGTACTAATAGAAGGCCAATTAAGCCAAACTAGTAGAAACACATGAACTGTGCACCAATAGCTGAGGAGCCCCCATGGTACTTGACTAGGCCCTCTGGATAAGTGAGACAATTGTTTAGCTTGAACTGTTTAGGGGGCCCCCAGGCAGTGAGACCAGGACCTGTCCTTAGTGCATGAGCCGGATTTTTGGAACCTAGTACCTATGCTGAGACACTTTGCTCAGCCTTGGTGCAGGGAAGAGGGGCTTGGACCTGCCTCAGCTGAATGTACCAGGCTCTGCTGACTCCCCAGAGGAGACCTTGACTTGGAGGATGTGGGAATGGGGGGTGGGTTGGGGGGAAGGTTGGGGGGTGGGAGGAGGGAGGACAGGGTAATCCATGGTTGATATGTAAAATGAATAGAAAATCTCTTAATAAAAAAAAGAAGGCTAATTAATAATAAATAAATCACTGGGCTCATGAAAGCCTGAACATCAACAGACTATTTAGGTAACAAAGACAGTTTTCCTAACAAAATATGGATTATTCTACTAGTACCTAACAACCAGTGGTTGCCTAGAGCCAAATATGAACACCAACCATATGCTTGTGGCCAGAGATTTGTGGGTTCTAGGTGATCACCTAGACAGAAATATGTGTTGTATTATACTGTGAGATCAATGTTTAGCTCACAGTAATGACCAATTTGTGGATCAGGACTATGTCTTTACCAGAATTCCTTCCTGACAATTCAAATAATTCATGCAAAATCTGTAGCATCTTCTAATAGTCAATAGTCAATTGTATACAGGATATGTTTTTATTACAGTAACATTCTATATGTGCCTCAACTTACTTGGGTGGTCAAGTGGACAGGAGCCTGAGACTTTTAGAACTGCATCATACCACTCACTGCTAACCCCTTAGGAATACAGCTTGTAATCGTCCCAATGCATGGATTTGTAAATTATAAACCTTTAAGCTGGTGTGTGAAATTTTACCAGGGAGTTTCCTATCCAGTCACCCAATATCCACATCTCAAAAGCCTGTATGGTTCTTAGCAGTGACTCTTAAGCTCTTGGTGTGGGGATGAGGCAAAGAGATGAATTTCTCACAAACATTCCTGGTTTTGTTTTTTTTTTTTTAATGGCTTTTTTTTTCTTTTATACATCTCAAGAAAATTCAGCCCCTTATTACAATTCTGAATGCTGTTGTTCACTGTCGATTCAGAATTTCTTTGTCATTTATTCAACTTACATGTCTTAAACTGCTAGAAAAATCCTCTGCTGAAAGTGCCTAAGCATTTTTTTATGACAGTGAAGAATTAAACAGTACTTTTTACCTTTATATGTGTGTGTAGGGTTTGTGTGTAATGTTGTATTATGACAACTCTAGTTAAATGTGAAATAGCATTGAGTAAAAAGATCATTGAAATCATTTCTAACAAGTGAACCAAACAGGAATATTGAGTCCCACCCCAGAGAAAGCAGCTTTTAGAGTCCCTCTTAGCACACCATGCTGTCTTTAAGCAATTACATATTGATTCGTTTATCTAATTGAACAATTAAATGGAATAGTCTGTTTTGACAGGACAAAAATATTGTAAATATACCAGTAGAATTAATTGTTACCTTACAAACACCACCCATGGCTTTGATTGCTCTGAAGCGGCATTGACAGCTTTGAGTCACAAATGAGACCTGCAGAGAAATGGCAAAGAAATAAAAACTCAGGCTTGTGGCTCCAAGTCTGTAATCCAGTTCCTGTAAGTTAACAGACACTTCAAGACACGTAGAGAATCTAGCATTACACGTGTATTTTGGATATAGTTGTTCCTTTAATTATACACTAAGAATCATAGTAGATATGTTTTTTCCTTTTATTTTCATTTTCCATTGAAATGCTTATATGTGTCTCATAAATGATGCATAGTTTGATGATCTTTTACTCTGAAATGGAAAAGTTACAACACTTAGACAAACATGTGGGCCTATAGCTCCTTCTCAGTGTGTTACTTTCTGTTTGCCCCATAGACATTTTATACTACTTGTTCTGTCTTCTTTAAAATTTTAATTTTTCTCATCTAATTATTTCTGATTTTAAGACTAGAAACTTGATATTCTTTTTCTTCCTTTTTTTTTAATAGTTCTCTGAGAGTTGTGAGTTTTCTGTAACATATTTTGGTGATGTTCACTTCTCCAAACCATGTCAAATCCCCTTCCATATCTACCAACTTTGTGTCCTTTATATTAATCCCTTCAAGGCCAATTGTACTCCCAAAATATTCTTGGCTGTGTGGTCTTCCACGGGATCGTGGTTGATTTACCAGTCAGTAGCTACACTCTTAGAGAAAACTGATTCTCCCTTTCCTGGTAGCTAACAAGTACCAATAGCTCCACAGCTAAGAGTAGGGTTGTGTGCCCAACTCCTCTTTCTACACTGGGATTTGATCTGGTTTGGGCTTGCACAGGTTTTGTGCATGAAAAGTGTAAATTAATTGATGTCTTTACATTGTTATTTAGGTTAGTCCAAATACCTTCCTTCTGATTTATATATTTATATTTTTGTTAAGGTTCATCTTAATTATAATTTTAAAAATTCCTTAATGTAATAAAATTTATAAAATACCATGTACATTGTTTTATGTAGTTCCTTTTCCTCCAATTTTATTTATATGTATCATCTATATCTAGCATTACTTTGTCTTAGCTTTAAAGTGTTCTTTTGGCATGGGTCTTCTTGGAGCATGCCTACCTTAAAGAGCATTTCTTCTGGGTATATCTCTAGACTGACAGTTACTGCCTTTCAGCACTTGGAGCCTGTTGTGTTATTCTTTGGAGCCCTGGCTTCCATTGTTGCTTTTGAGATCTACTGCCTCCATCTTCCTTTAAAAGTAACCTGACTTTCTCTAATTGGCTTGAAAATCTCTTGCCTTTGGTGTTCTTCAGCTTCAAGGTGATGTATGTGGGCTTCTTCACATT